AAAAATTTGGCCAATGTTGTAAAAAATAATGTTGTTTGGATAAAAGTCAAGTTCGGACTATTGCATGACCATGCACCTAGGATGAGGGTCCACATATTGCTATTTGGTACATGCATGAAGATTTTATATATAAGAATCTTGAAGGTAAATATCTATAAAACCAAATATATAATTTAAAAACTGATTTTTGCGGTATTTGGTTTAGTAGATTTTATCTATAAAACAAGATAACCATAAAAATGGCTATGTGCATGTATGAACCAATAACAATATGTGGACCCTATATGTCATACTCATAGTTTTGACAAAATTTAACTTGACTTTTATCCAAACAACATTATTTTTTACAACATTGGCAGGGTTTTTTGCTTGTCTTTAATGCGCAAGCCCAAATTTGCTAGGTTGAGAAAATTGGGCAGCCTGGAGGGATGGAGGAAGAGTGAAGAATCTTTGGTGAATTTATATTTGAAATCTACTAATTTTTTAGATGGGTGTGTTTGGATCAAGTGGGGTTTAAGTGGTCCATCATCATCTCACTCTTGGCCTTTTTTTATTTGGTTTAGTAAACAAGCTATTAAGATTAGTACTATTATGAGTTATAGCTGAATCTAATAAATTTGAGGAATTTTTCATGAATAATCCATCATCTAGAATGAGTTGATTTCCTAAACCAACCACTCCATTAGAATGACGCGAACCAGTAAACCTGTGCTTTACGTTGCTAGAATTTTAAAAGATGTATTGAGATGGAAGAATTACTTATATTTGTGAAAACCATACTAGTCAATTTATTGATATGTACAAAATAGACATAATAAATACTTTGTAGTCTGCATCTAATGATTATAAACTTATTAATTACTTTTTTGCCGTGGAGCGGACTTATATCTCGCCGTAAACTCGGCTACGGCTTGTATTTAATATCTAACCCCTCTTTGAAACCTTGCTGCGTTGCACGTGTAGTTCAAAAAAAAAATATCGTTATTCTTTAATAATCACATATATTGTCATGAATCCTAACTTTTGATTTTGATTTTTTTTATTACTGCTACATATTTTGTCTGAGATATACTCTTTGATTGTATTTTTAATAAACTCTTATTTTGGACCAATATAAAAAATAATGATTTTACGTGGAAAAACCTCCTCATGACGAGGAGTAAAAAACCACGGGTATGCAATCATTTGAAACTTGCACCATGTCACCAAAAATAAGTGATAGAGCTTGAAATGAGATCTTAGATGGGGGTAGCAGTGCTATCCTCAAGAGAATTTAAAATCTTATTAAGCCTTATAATGATCAAATTACTCTAGAGTAATGTTAAAGGGCCAAAAAAATATAGCCATCAATAGTCTCCCACAATTCATTAGATGATTGAATTTACCTATCAAGGAATTATACGTGCAATTATGGTTAAACATTTAGTTAAAATATATAAATATAGATAAAGTAACAACCTATGTAAATTATGTCATGGTTACTAATATGGTTTCAAAAAATTTGTTAGCATCATTGTCATATGAGTTGTTAAGGAAATATTTTTTTTGATGAAACATAACATATATACTCGCTCATGCATGCTGACACATGCTTACATTAATCAAATCTTAATATATTAATATTGATAGAAGTGGGTAATGCACAAACATCTACATCCTCTATGGATATTTAAAATTTTTAATAGAAGATATTGATTATCTTTTAGATGTAAATTTGATAGGATATTTAATTTTCTTAGTAATGAGATGAAAATTAGGTTACATAAATTATTTAATGTAATAGGAGTACGTGAGTAATTAGATGCAATTTAGGTCTACTTTGAATCATGTTTCTTAATGGCATATGTGGGTAGTTTAAATATAGAGTCATGAGTTATTTTATGTTGTTTTATGTAATAGCAGAGGTGGGTAATTATTTAGAAAATAAAATAGATCTAATAGCTATTATTATCAATAGTGATTAGATTATACCGAATCGATGGTCAAATATTTCAGATTTTTTATAAGAAATTTCTAGGATCTATCTTTTATTTTCCTATTGTTTCTCGTGAGGATTAACATGGAGGCTCCATTATGGACCTCTAGTTAGCATTTCAAGTATTTTTCTTTTTTGTAGCATGACATGTATTTAGTTTAAACCCAACTATAAGATATATAAACTCTTATTGCATCCCTTTCTATGACTTCACAAATTATAGTTTAGCTTTTGACTTTTAATCAAGTATAGTTTTTTCCACATGTTAAGTAGAAACTCTAGTGTTTTTTAATTTTCTATTCAAAATTTATTTTTATTGAAAAGAGTTTAGGTCTTAGTAATATTGTTTTCCGCATATTAATTAAGTTGAAACTCATATTGCACCCTAGCACCGAACTTGTTGAATTTGTTATGTCATAGAATTATATGTTGGTAGTATTATTTTATATCCTAGAGCGCTAAAAATTACCAATATTGATATGACATGATGTTTTCGTTAAAAGGTATAAAGTTATTTAAAAACAACTTATGAAATTCATTATTAGGGAATATAAATATAATTTAAAGGGTATTACTATATAGTTTGTTAATTAAACATTTTCCATGCTTATAATCTATTCAAATAGATATTTATTCTGATGTACATATGTTTACGAGAGAATTCCTTATTTGACATCAGACAAATGACCCGTTTCTTTTTGGCCCTCAAAAATTTTTTATTCCCTATTTGACACCGAGTTCAAATTTCATTCCTACATGACACTCCGTTGCATTTTCCATCCGGCCACCGTTAAGTGCGCTGTGAAAAGATGATTTTGCCCTTGTGGGCCCCACCACCCTTCTCCCTCCTCTCCTCCCCTAGGCCGCCGCGTCCTCCCCAAGCCCGTGGCCAACTGAAGCCGAAGGGGAGAGCACCTACCACCGGCGAGGAGGAGGCCGAAGGGGAGCGCGCCTTGTCGGCGAGGAGGAGGCCGAAGGGGAGCACACCTGCCGCCGGTGAGGAGGCCAAAGGGGAGTGCACTTGCCGCCGGCAAGGAGGAGGTCGAAGGCGCTGAGGCCCCTCCGCCGCGTCTGTGCCTAGAAGGCGATGCAACCGGGGACTCGGCGCGCCTCTGCCACCGTCCAGGCCTCGGCGAGCACGGAGGACGTCCTTCTTCGCTTCCTCAGGCACCCTCCTCCCCGTCCTCTTCCTCGCGCGACAAGAGCTTGGTCCGGCAGCAGGAGAAGGACGCGACCGTGGGGCCTCAGCGCTGGCGGCGTGATGGGAGCTAGAGCGGCGGCAGGATGCAGGACGTGGCCGTGGCCGTGCGACCTCGATGCCAGGGAACCATCGACGATGGTGAGGAACGGCCCGTGGTGAAGTGCGAGACGAGTGGAGGTGACGCGATTCAGAGGAGGGAGAAGGGTGGTGGGCCCACAAGGGCAAAATCGTCTTTTCACAACGCAGTTAACGGTGGCCGGATGAAAAATGTAACAGAGTGTCATGTAAGGAATAAAAGTTGAACTCGGTGTCAAATAGGGAACGAAATTTTTTTGATGGCCAAGAAAGGAACGGGTCATTTGTCTGGTGTCAAATAAGAAATTCTCTCTATGTTTACTTGGTATACATGGTCAAACATAACATTATGGTTATTTAATTTCATAGTTATAGAAGTTTGTAATTTAGAAATATACAGCCTGTTCGTTTGGCCGTGGCTTGTCGTAAACGATTGTAAATTTCCAGCCGGAACAGTATTTTTCTCTCACACAAACCAGCCAGCAGTACTTCTTCACGAACCAGCAACGAAACGAACCAGCCAACCGAACAGGCTGATATATATGTCTCGTATATACATGGTCAAGCATAGCATTATGATTATTTAATTCTATAGTTGTAGAAGTTTGCAATTTAGAAATATATGTCTCATTCTTTATGAATATTGATTTTTTTAATAGCATAATTTAGTAGTTACATATAGGTTTGAGAGAGGTGGGTAATTTAGATGCAATGTGAGGGGCTTATTATGAATTATGTTTCATAATGACGAAATGGGTATTTAGATACAAATTTAGGGGGTTGTTTTGAATTATTTTTCATAATAAAATACAAGTGTGGGTAATTTATATGCAAATTTATGGGTTATTTTGAATTATCTTTCGTAATGGTAGATGTGGGTAATTTATATGCAAAATTAGAGGGTTACTTTATGTATTTTTCATAATGATAGATGCGTGTAATTTTTTTATAAATTATAATGGATCCAATTGCTATTATCGAAGATGATGATTAGAGTTTACTAAATTAAAGGCTAGATTTTTCTGATTATTGTGAGAATATCTAGGATTTATTTTTTTTCTTACCGTGTCTGATAAGAGTTAACGTAATCGTAAGATAAGATAAGATAGGCAATATACCCCTTGACAGTAAGTGACGAGTCTTTTGCATCCGTTCTGATTTTTGCAAAAAGAAAACAAGAACATTGATTCGTCCATCGTATCATCACTCATCGGCATAAAAACGGTTTAGCAACAACCATCAGGTCTAGTTCTCACAAAAAATAACTGATGATGTCCTTCATGTATATAGTATTCGTCCTTAGAATTGAATTTATTCTAATAATTATAATTTAGACATAGATTAATTAAGTTAATGTAGTTGTATAAGAAATATATTTGTATATTTATTATTAGGCATACAAATGACATAGTTATACGTTGTATTTCTATTATAAGGAAGTGAGTTGAAGAGTGTGCTATAAGTTGAAGAATAGAATTATAGCATAGTGATTTATAGAATTAATTTTATCTTCCATCCTATAGACTTATTTGTGAGTTTGAAAAAGTTATAAAATATCAAATTCCAAATAAATAGCATAATCCTAGATTTTAATTCCTCCAAACGAAGAGATCTAAACGCCCCCCTATTCTCATCTCGTTATTTTATATATGGTCTCAAAAAGAGGACAGACAAAATTATTCATATATACGTAGTACATATAGAAAGCCGCCCTGTATGTACTAATACTAATACTCCTGCGTGCTCTACTCAATTTCCCGCGAAATTAATATGGTAAACTGGTGTCTTATCCGGATTAAAGAGCCCAAACTTCTTCTCCGTGGGGTCCCCGTCCTTCTGGTCCTCGTTGAACATGGCGAACACGTACACCTCCATGGGCCCCGGCTTCCTCGGCGTGCCCTTGCCAGCATGGTCGATGAGGTTCTGGTTGTACGTCCGCGCGTTGTCCACAGTGGCGCCCTTCCCGTCGGCGGACGGCCACCCGCTCTCCGACACCACGACGTCGACGCCGCCGCCGCCGCCTCCGCCGGCCTTGTCCAGCGCGGCACGGACGGCGTCCACCATGGCATCGAAGAGGTTTGTGTACACCAGCCCGTTGGCGGGGTCCGTCACCGTCGTGGAGCTCGGCCGGAACAGCGCGTAGTCGAGGTCGATGCCATCGCTGTACTCGTACGCGAAGTAGGGGTACACGTTAGCGAGCAGCGGCGCGCCGTTGCTGGCCAGGAACTGCACGATGGGCGACATCGCGGCGGGGTCCTTGAACACGCCGCTAGACGGCGGCGAGGAATTCTCGATCGCGTCCATCTTCACCGCCGTGGACACGCGGACGCTGGCCGCGAGCCCGGCCGACGCGAGCGCGGCGTGCACGTTCTGCATGGCCTGGAGCACCGACGCCGCGCCGGGGACCTCGTTCCCGACCACGACGTACCGGATGTCCACGTCCGGGTAGTAGGCCTGCACGTTGTCCCGGACCCAGGACGCGGCGGCGGCGGGGTCGGAGGCGAGCTCACCGACCTTGTCGTTGCCGACGTCGAGGGCGAGGGCGATGCCCGAGCCGCGCAGCGCGGTGAGGAGGTCCTGGTCGGCGAAGTAGAAGCGCATGCTGGCGATGCCGTTGGACTTGTAGAGCTGCACCACGTCGCTCTTGGAAGGGAGGCCGCTGCCTATCACGCCGTAGCACACGCCGATGGCTCGCACACCTGCACGCGCACATATAGTTTCAGTGAATCGGCTTCTTCTACGCTAGATGCATGCATGCATGGTTCTTCGATCATCGGAGCTCATGAAGATGGTAGATGGATATACTTGTAGCGGCGGCGGCGAATGCGGCAACGACCATTGCTGCTGCAAGCACGGGAGCGACGCCTCGAGCAGCCATCTTCTTCGACGCCGGCGTCTCTGCAATGCTCATCACGACGTGATCCTGCAGAGATTTATACCCGTCCGATGTCCATGCCTGACTCTGACTGCCTGATGGAGCTTGGAAACTACGTGCTGTAGAATTAGGCGCAAGACCAGGACAAGGTCAGCTCAGCTGATGGAAGAAAATCTCACCGTCTTGCGTACGCTTGGAGCAGAGTGTTGGTGCAGCCGTGGCGACCGAAGCAGCCATGGGTGTGCAGGTTTCGCAGCCTCGGCGAGAGCGGATAGGGACGCGCGAGAGAAGGCGCAGATTTCGAAGACCTCTGCGAGAACCTGCACATGTTTTCCAACGCCGACCAGGAAGGACTTCGTCGCAGGTGGCACGCGTGAAGCAGTTCGATGCATGCGGCGTGTCTTGCACGTCAGTTCATTTCTTGTGGACACAACACGTGTATCCGCGCAGAGTTTGGAATTCCAGGCTCTCAAGCCGTGTGATAACAGGAAGACAGGAACTCAGCCCTGAATTCCTGGCGACATGGTCAAGTTCGGGACAAATTGGTTCACATTTAACTAGCAACAGAGAACCTGACGATTTGGAGGGAATGGCCCTGGTAAAATCAATTAACTGTTGCAAGTCAGAATTACACGACAGGCACAGCAATATCCTATAGAAATCTTCTATGAATACATGATAGTACAATATTTGGCCCTCATGAAGGGATCAAGACAGACCGACTAACAATGCATTAGCATCTCTAATTGGTCGCCATCACTTAACTTCACTTCCTTCATATAATAGAGTAAGGGTATTCATAAACCGGCAGCTGCTTAAAATGGTTGCTTGGAGGTGCAGTGTGCCCCAATTTTCTTGTGAGATGAGATGTCATACAATAACTGTACCTAGTCAACCCAGTCAGCCAACTTCCAGTGGCCTTCGTATGTCACCTTTGCCGGAACTCATTCCTCACGGTATTGCAAATCTCATCTGTCACTGCTGAGTTCTCATGTAGGAACTTCTCAGCTTCCACCTTGCCCGCCAGGAACTCATTGTTGATCCAATACCCACACCCATCTTTTAGGATAACTCCGACCGAAGAAGCCATCTCCAGGATCTCGGATTCATGGCAGATCCCCTTCCCGAATCTGATGTCGATGCCGGCTTCCTTCAGGCTCGCTGGAGCCAATTTGTTCTTGATGATCTGCACTGATATACCTATGCCAGTAGCCTGCATAAGCAGGGTACATTATTATCAGCATATGTTTGACCATGTTGTCATGAGGAGCTGGGTGTCATACCTCGTCTTCACTATAGCGCAGTTCTCTTCTTGAAGTCCTCATTCTGACTGCAGCATAGAATCCTAATGCATTACCACCACAAGGCACCTCCTTGTAGATCCCAGAAAAATCATTTGATGTCCTCTTTCTTCTAACCTACAAATATAAGCAACCAATAGAGCTGAAGGTAGGAATGCTGTAGCTCAAGTGCTATGAGAATCATAAGTAATTTTGGATTTCTGAACCAGATATATTTGATGGTATAAATTGGCATTAGCATTTGGTAGAAGGAATTCAATCTGATATGGAGACATGCTGCCATAACTCGAGTGTTTTTTCAGTTTGTTCTAGTCTATTTCCATTGTACATTTGACAGCGGTGCATATATAGCATAGCATCCAAAGTTCAGGTTCCCAAATCATAGGATAACATATACTCCCTCCGTTCCAAATTATAAGTCACTTTGACTTTTTTGGTTCATCTATTTTGCTTTGCTATCTGACATATTATTATATCTAGATGCATAGCAAAATGGATGTACCAAAAAAGTCAAAGTGACTTATAATTTGGAACGGAGGGAGTAACATTTATTTATGGGCATGAGACTAGTTAAGATAGGGTTTTTTATTTTTTTTTTTTGCAACAAGAGGTAGCTAAAGATAGGTTACATTCTTCGTCGACAAAAACTGAAACTTTGGTGGGAGCAGGAAGTGATATCAGAGAACAGGGTTTCAAGGAATTGAAAAAAAAATCCTACATAGGCTATCAAGATGACAAATAATGGCATACCTGATTCATAAAAATAATAAGTGTTTCTGATCGACATAAAGTGTACTGAATTTTTCTAAGGGCCCGAGTCATCAAACGGGATTGGATGTCTTCAGAATTTGTGTATATTTCACCTTCAATTTCACATTTGGGAATAAGTGCTGCCACCTGTCACAAGTACAATAAAAACAAGGTAAACAAATGTAGCACGGTCTAAGTACACACAGATAAAGAAACTGGTGAAGTTGGCAAGAACTAATAAAGTAGCAGATATCTCAAAAATAGGACTTTAGGTCTTAAAAACGACAGAACATGTATGCCCAGACAGAGCTAAATGCATCAGAACTCCTTAGAATAAGCAATAAAGCAAGAACTTTAGACAACAGTGAGATATATACTGAAAATGATATGGGGAAGTAACATACACTATCCACAACAACAACAGCAACAGAACCACCAACAAGAGTGTTTACAATGCTTAAAGAATTTTCAGCAGAATCAGGTTGTGCTATCAAGAGCCTTTCACTGTCTACACCAATAGCTTCAGCAAATGAAGGGTTAAAGGCATTTTCTGCATCAACATAAGCACAATAACCTGCAAATATGCCAGTAAAAATGCCAATCAGGTATGATTCCATTCAGTAATAAAAATAAAGTGCCATACCTCCATTCTGAAATGTATGATGTTTAAGTTTTGTCCTAAGTCAAACTTCTCTAAATTTGATCACAATAATAGAAAAATATATTGACACCTAACCAAATAAATGCAATATCAAGACATATTTCATGCTGGATTTAGTAACATCATAGGACAAAGATAGAATATCAAATTTATGCACAAACAGAGATTATAAAAAAATTCAATATTCATCAATCTAAGTAGTAAAAACAGAGGTATGCTCACTAGCAATATTTACTAATGCTTGTAAAGGAGTATGATAAAATCTGGCAATCGGATATAATGGACTAATGGTAATGATGAAAGATCACCAAAAATACTAGATATTACAATCAAGTATACCAAAAAATGGTAAAATGGAAATGAAATACTTCAGGGGTGCAACAAACCACAAAAAAAGGATTTTCTTTTTGGTGGTCAACAGAAATATATCCAAGGATAAAAGAGGGATGGAGGAAAAAAAAGGCCTTCATAAACGAAATGCAGACCTCCATTCTTTTGAGCTTCCTTAACAACATGAAGCGCGAGTGTTGTCTTCCCAGATGCTTCTTTCCCATATATCTCCACCATTCTACCCTGTTTGAGATACTCTAATCAGTAATCTGCCAAACATGGCCAAAGCACAGTAATAAAACATCAAGCCCAATCTATTGCCATGGATCAAATTTCTCAAGGAAATGTTGCTATTCAACATATACAGTGACCAGTGTCCAGAGAAGTACAGCTTGGAAGACATGGACACCTATGATGGCAGCATTTCTAGGCAAGACATTCTCTCAAATAGGCAAGAGATGAGAACGAATGTGTCGTTATGTGTATTTTGGTAAGCAGAGATGGTGAAGGTGAAATGCACTTCTATTGAGGGTAATTATAACTAAACTGAATGCTTACCAATCACAAAACAAGGACATTTGCTACTCAATAAAATAGTTCAGATCTTGATGGAGATTAGATTGACACATCGAGTAGATAGGCATCAAAAGATGAGTTTTCTTAAAAAACACATGGCTTAGTTAAGTTTGGACTTGCTAGTGTTGACAGGAACAGTGAGGTACTTGTAAAAGTATGAACTTTTATTTCTTATGTCTATCAACAGGAGATATAAAATCAAGTGAGTATTCCATGTATAAAAAATAATAATAAAGTATATTATGTGAACAAATAGAAATGGTATGAACACATTATGACCTTTGGTAATCCTCCAACGCCGAGAGCAAGATCAAGCTTAAGAGAACCAGTAGAGATCACAGATGCATTCCTTGTACGGGAAAATTGCTCCAAACATAATTTGGAATCTCTATCAAAGTCACTTGCAAGTTGGGAGACAGCAACATTAAGTGATGACTCCTTCTCAAGAGCTTTTGTATCGTCAAGCGGGGGATCACTCTCGTAGTCTAATTGCATATCAACTGGAAATTTGGACAGATTCCTGAGTAACATAGCAACTCATAAGGTAGCGTGAATACAGAATGCCAGAGAATAACTGTATAGCTTTGGAAACTACTTCCACAAGTTACTTCGTGCAGGTACATTAAAGTTAGCATTTTCTATTGTATCGAAAAGCTAACAGTAGCAAAAAAATTGAGCAACTATCGGGTAAATGGATATACCTATGGTTGACATCGAACGACCTTTGGACCAAAACGAAGAAAATGTCTCTCTTTTCCCATTCTAGCAAATGACATCACAGGGAAGAAAGATGATCAGCAATTTGTGCAGATATCTTGAAATATGAGCAAGCAAGCATTCTGAACTACACGCCCCACTTATAGCTCTGAAGCCAGTGAGTACGAAACAGCAAAGCAGCACATAAATCAATTGTAACCAAAAGCCACAATTCTCCACTAGTGGGAAAAAAGCTGGCATCGGACTAGCGCTGTTGTACAGCACATAGTGCATATTTCTCCGAATCTCACTCTTCTATGCTAGTAGCTTGTGCACATGAGCAGGAGCCAGCAAAGCAGAACTTACGGTTAGCTGCTTGTACGCTCATGTTCAAACCGTTGCAAATGTTAAACGTTTCATCCAATCTATGAATCTAACCCAACACGGGCAGTTTGACAACAGCAACTAGCAAAGAGGTCTTATCAGTCCGATTGAAAATCTTCCATTGCAAAAAAGAAGTTACAGATCCCAAAAAAAGAAGTTACAGATCCCTAGCACATGGCGACAAGCCACAATCCCGCAATCGAGGGAGCGTCAGAGAGATGCGGGGTCATACCTGAAGGGGGGAGCGGCGGAGATGAGAGGGCGCGGATGCTGAGGCGCTACCGCACTCCGCGCGCGAGAGCTGGGCGGCGGCGCCGGCGGCTCGTCGGAGCAGAGCGGATGAATAGAAGAGGAGCCCTCGCATGGCGGCGGGCGAGCGAGTGGCGGAGTGATGGGCCGCGCGCGCGCTCGAGTGGTCCGAGTCTTCTCTACGTAGCGAGGCCTGCGTGGCTGCGTGGGTCGGTCCATTCCAGATTGGTGGGCCTCGGCGGCCCGAGATAGACCATGGACAGGCCGAACTGGTCCAATTAGTTTTTCTAGTTTGTTTATTAAGTGTTGAGAAATGCTATAGAACGACTGAGGGTTTTAGAGTAATTCAACACTCTGAATTTTCTCTTCTCTATCTTGTGCCTCTCCCTCTCTTCTTCTTCAAATTTGGCAGCCTCGGGGGAGCCAGGCCGGTCTGTAGCACCCGATTTTAAGAACAAAATCAGATACACACCATATGTGAGCCTAAAAGTCAAATCTCTCATATAGCTACAAATAAGGGTAATATCAAAAGACAATGCTCAAAATATATCGTACTTAGTATAAATGATATAACCTTAGATAAAAAATAGCGGAAAGACAACTCCGATCTTCAGGTAAAGACTCCAATTCCACAGGGACAAACTGACTGGTTGATCACAAGCCTAACTCCTCTAGACTGGCAATCTAGTACCCATCCAGGATTTTTATCCAAATAATTGAAAAGTAAAGCAAGCGTAAGTACATGTCGTACTCAATAAATATAACATGGGGTTCATGAGGCTCAAAAGGCAGACACTGGTTTAACTATGATTACTTTTAATGAGTCGTGATTTTAGCAATAGGGTGGCAACAAGTTTATTCACAAGCCCATATAAACACATGATCAGATAAACACGAATAATGAATAGCATAAACAGTAATCATTAGTGAACATCTTCATCATCCGTATCATTGGTGTTCATCATATATTCCGTAAGGGTCCAAGGCCGCTCGTGACCATGAGCACGGCTGATATACTAGTTTTACACTCTGCAGAGGTTGTACACTTTCACTGTGAGTCATGATTTACCCTTTCGCCCGAGGTCATGAGACTCTTGACCCACTACTAAGGAAGATCAGCAGGGTTCACTATGAAGCCTTTCAAAGGTTCGTCTAACAAGTTAGGGCCATTAGATTCACTCGGCAAATAGATATAGGAACCCCTGTTGAATGGCACAATTCCATCACGACTATACACATAAAGAGTAGGGATTGTCCTATACCCGATTCGTTAAGCCATTCTTACGCCATAAAGGTAACCTCTAACAAGCTAGAAAATGTCCTCATACTAAGCTAAAGCCAGAGCCATGTAGCCCTCATGGTTGTACTGTAAGTCCCAGATGTTTGCTTACAAATAAGTCCTTAGGGAGAGGAATCTAGAGCACCATAAAAATAGTCCAATGCTCTAACCCCCTTATTTCATGTTGCTAAAAAGCATCTTTTAATGTTTATTGCATATTCCATTAGTCAAGTTACAAGATCATGGTTTTAAATTGAGCACTAGCATCATACTACCCAATGCAATAACCGATAGGTGACAAGGAATCCAAGATATCAAATAGGTAGGGAAATTTACTACGGTTGCCAAGGTAGACATATGCATATGATTAAAGTAATATTAAGGTGAATAGGACAATAAGGAAGATCCCAAGCTATACTTGCCTTAAACTTAGATCATTCTTTCTATTGATTTGTAGCCTCTAAAGAACTGCTTCTTGTTCACCACGTAAAACTCATTGACTGGACAAGATCATTAAGCACCACACAAGCATCCGAACAAACATGCATAGCATTCAAACATAACTATATTAGAACAATACACTAATCAGTGAAAAAGAATTTGAAATCAAATCTACGCGTTGCTACGATCACACAGACGCGAAAAGCACGCTAATCAAAGCTACGGTGAAAAAGTTACATCTAGCGATAGATTTGCTTTAAAAAAAACTATAGGCTTTATTTATTTTAGCTATATAAAATGTCTATAACATACTTCAGAGAAATACCTTAATTGAGTTAAGTCAAATCATACTTATTTAGAAAAACAAGAAAAAACTAATTATATAATTGACCAAGGTAAAAAGACTAAGTTATTTTTAATTAGAAAATCCAATTGCATAATCATTATCCAAGTTAGACGTTAAACCATAAAATTTCAGAGCTCTTGACATGGAAAACATTGATACTAATGCGTGGATTATGTCCTTATGAATCTAACGCAATTTGAACGGGTCAAATCAGAGTTAAAATGAAGAAGATATGGCTTAATGAAGATAATGGCAATTTTGTAAATAGATGAAACTTGATTTTTGAATTTAAAATAAATAAAATCTGATTTAAACTGGCAAAGGACTGCGGGTACTATTTAAAGAAAAGGTAGGGGTGAAAACAGAAGAAATAGGGACCTCTTTTTAAATACTGTTGAACACAGTGGGACTGTGGGTTGATTTCAATGAAGGGGAGGAGCTCTTTTGCAAAAGGGCATAGGCGAAGGGGTACCGGTTGATCTGGACCATTGGATCTGAAACGGACGGCTAAGATTAGAAGGGAAAGAGAGAGAGGGGATCGGTCGGCCGGAACAGGGACGGCGCGACGACGATTTCACCGGCGAAGACAGATTTCTCGTCGGAGAAATTGGGGAAAGAGGCTACCGACCTCGGATTGGCTCGGGGTTAGCACTAGGAGTTAGAGAGGAAAACGGCGAACTCAACTCAGCGAATTACAGCGGCTAAGCGTGGGCAGAGGCGGCTAGCGGCGAGCAATGGCGGCGACGGAGCGACGGCGACGCGAGGTAAGGCAACACAGAGCGAGACAGAGAGAGATAAGGGGCTTGGCGTGCTCGTGAACATGACGCGAAGCTCGGGTAGGCACTTACGGGCACGGAGGAGCAGCTAATCGTCACGGCGAGATCTCGACGGCGGTGCTAGGGTACAGGGCGGCATAGCGGCTCGAATTAGGGTTTGGCGAGAGAGAAATGATGCCGGGGCTCGATATTTATGGTCCTTGCAACGTGGGGCGCACTCCACCGGGAGGAATCATGGTGGAGGCGGAGACGGACACGGCATCGGGCAGAGTCCGGCGTGGCTACGCGAGGAAGAAGACGGTGCCGACAGGGCGGGTCCACCGGTCAGCGAGAGAGGGAGCGGGTCCAGGACGTCAGACATGCAAAGGGGGGAGAGAACGCTTGTGCTGGCACCAAAAGGAGAGAAAGGGGAAAAGAGAACTAGGCCGGAAGCAATAGGCCCATGCGGGAGAGGAAAGTGAGGGAGAGGAGAAGAGAGAGCAGGCCGCCTGCCACTGAGCTGGGCCGAATAGAGGGGAGAGGGAGAGAGAGTTTTCTTTCTTCTTTTCTTTTTCTGATTTGATTTTCCAAATTCATTTTCAAATAAGGTTTGAATTTATTTGAACTTTGAACCAAATCAAATTCAAATATTATTTCAAACATACTTTTCAATGCAAATAGAAAGGAGCAATTTTGGTAGGCGTTCAAAAATAAATTTTACAACTTTTAAACTCTTTTATTTTCTTTTATTTCCAATCCATTTTCAAAAGCAATTTGAATTCATTCTGAATATCACACAATACAATAAATCCAATGCAGAGGCATGAATGCTCCAATAATGTTTTCAAACCTTATGATAAACTTTAATTTAATGATTTTTTTATTTTCCTATATTTTATGAGCACAAAATACAAAATTACTCAATTTACATCTATTTAAAAAGAAGCAAATTTTTAGGGTGTTACACGGTTGGGCGGTGAAGACGGCGGGAGGGCAGCATTAGGGACGGGGGTGTCCATGGCCATGGCGGCTGCGGGAGTGGGGGAGGGAAAGAAGGAGGCCACCATGGGCGCGTAGGGTCTTGACGGAGCTCCGGTGAGATCCTATCTCACGCCGCGGTGGGGCGGTGGGCGCGGCGGAGCGTTGGGAGGAAGAAGAAAAGCGTGAAACGCTCTGAGTGCTGGGTATGTTTTATTGTGTTATGAGACATGATGGTGAGATGTCATACGAAGAGGAATTTAAACAGCCTGATCGTTTGGCTGTGGCTTGTCGTAAACGATCGTAAATTTCTAGCCGGAATAGTATTTTTCTCTCACACAAACCAGCCACCAGTACTTCTTTACGAACCAGCAACAAAATGAACCAGCCAACCGAACGTGCTGCTAGAAGAAGAAGAAGAAGAAGAAACCGCATGCAAGTCACACGTGACACGACGATCGGAAAAGAGAAAACGGGAATAATGGTACATTATTACCGCTGTGCGAGATGGTCAAATTACAAGTGCAAATAATTTATCCTGCGATAGGACTGCTACTGCTTATGCCCAAACGATGGAGGCCACTTCAGCCGGCGGCAACGTTTGTGACGGGCCCATGGAACCAGAACCGGGCGTGAAGCACCCACGCGCCGACGCTAAGCAGCAGAACGCCGCCGACGGCGACGGGCGTGTAGTTGAAGTTGGCTTCCGCGACGGGGTACGCCACCGGCAGGGAGAAGAGCACAGTGAGGAGTGCCACCCAGGCGACGGCGACCCAGCCGACGATGAGGCTGCACCGCCGCCCGAGGTGGAACGGCCCCGGGACGAAGGATTCCCGCGCCGTCGTGACGCGGAAGAGGATAGGCAGCGCGTAGGCGATGTACAGCCCCGTCGTCGCCACGGAGACCATCGCCTGGAACGCCACCTGGCTCCCCAGCGACTGCAAGCAGGAAGAGAGATTAGCAAGCGTGCGTGTGAAGCCACCACCATCTGGCAGCTGCCATGGATGCAAATGCAAGCAGTTGCGCAGTTCACAGAGAGTTGGAGATGCACGGACGCACGCACCGGAAGGGCTATGACGAATGCGACGGCGACGGAGAACCAGACGGCGTTGAAGGGCACCTCGTGCCTGTTCACCCGGTGCCAGACACGCGAGAACGGCATCGCCCCGTCCCTGGAGAAGGCATACGCCATCCTGCAGGCACTTGGGGAAAGTTAAATATTGATTGGAACACAGCTTATGCATGTGTTTTGTGTATTGCGTACATGGTAACTTGAGAACCTCGAGTCGCTGGTCACGTTGGTGGAGCCGCAGATGAAGACGGCGACGGCGACGATCCCCAAGCAGACGATCCCTCCGGCGCCGCTGCCGAACCTCCTGCGGAAAGCGTCGTACAGCGCCTGCGCGACGGCGTAGCCACCGGCGTCGTTGCCGGCGTCGAGGAGGTACGGGATGTCGTCCGTCACCGCCGAGGTGAGGGCCACCAGGTAAACCCATCCGAACACGCTCGCCAGAGCAACGGAGGCGACAATCCCCATCGGCCCATTCCAGTCTGCGTTCTTCGTCTCTTCCGTCTGCACAAAGACGATGCGACTTCAACTGTTTTGGTACGGTCTTTTAGCTGAAAACCTCTGCCGCTGAAGAAAGAATATATACCATGTGAGCAGACGTGTCGTAGCCTAGGAGAGAGTACTGGCTCATCAGCAACCCCATGGCGAAGATGTAAGCTCGGTCGCGGATCCCCACGCCGTTGTCGGTGTTGAAGTGGGTGAAGATGAACTCCATGCCTGGTCTCTCTTTGGCAACCGCTGGAATCAGGATCACCAGAACAAATACGCCTGCCGTGTTCCAGAAGACTCCGAGCTTGCCCAGCCAGGACAGGCGCTGGATGGGGAGGCTGTTGATGACGCCGTGCACGACCAGGATGGCGGCGTAAATTGCGAGCAGGACGTACTTGGAGGCCATGTAGCCGCCGCCGTTGGCTCGCCCGGTGCCCAGCAGGACCATCACTTGGATCAGCTGCGCCAGCGAGAAGTCCACGCTCGCCGTGCCAGTCCACTGTGAAACGACGGTTTTGTTTTGTTTAATCAGGAATTGAAGCAGGTAGATGATTGTCATTTGTCAGTCAGTACAGTATACGTGCACTGCAACTGCAGTTTGAGGCTACTGAACTGACCAGTCTTTGGTCAGTTCTAAAGTCACAGTCAGCAATCTGAAAAGGCAAGAAAGAGACTGCAATTGCTGTTTGCTCAGGCTACTGTCAGTGAATGCTGTTGTTTTGTCACTTTGTGGTGGAAGTGATAATCCACTAAAGAAAATGAATAATCAGAATAGTTTTTGACTTTAGAGGTGCAGGGTCCTGTGGAGTTGGAGCCTACCTGCGCAACGATGTTGAACCTGTAAAATTTTAAAACTTATTTAGGTAGGTTTATATTACGAAAAACAATTGAATTGAAGCGACAAAGATTGTCCTTGTCTGATTCTGATGGATCTTTGTTTATCAGTTGAGCACAGGAGGTGGGCACATGAGTTGAAGAACGTTCAGTCAGTATGATCGCTGAGAACGAGAACTACTACTACTGACTACTGAGATTAAAAAAAGAAATCTGAACAGAGCGTACCATCCGGTGACCCATGAAGCAAGGGACGCCCAGTCCTCGCCGGAGAGCTTGGCGCTCCAGTAGTAGAGGCCGCCGGAGGTCGGGTAGGCGGAGCAGATCTCCGCCATGGACAGTGCCACGCAGCCGTTGAAGAGCGCCACGATGAGCCAGCCCAGCGTCATGGACGCCGGCCCGCCGTAGCGGAGCCCGGTGTTGTACGTCGTCGTCACGCCCGTCAGCACGGAGATGAGGGAGAAGGAGAAGGCGAAGTTGGAAACGACACTGCAATGATACAGATAGACACGAACACAACACGACACGACGAAGCTAAGGGAAGCGCTCATGAGCGAGCGAGACTACAAATCGCCTGGGAATTGGGAACGAATCGATGGAGGCACGTACGAGAGGCCGCGCTTGAGCTCCTGCCTGTATCCCAGCTGCTGCAGCCGGGCTCGGTCTGCGTCGTCGGCGACGGGAAGCTCGACGGAGCCCATCTCTCTCTCTCTCTCTCTCTCTCTCTCTCCTCTCTGCGCAACACGAACGATTCCTCTGCCGCTGCCGGGGCTGCAGGTCAATACTGTGAAACAGAAAAAATACTAGTGGAAATTCCGCACCCTCTTATATCGTTCGCCCGATTATGACGACTAAATCGAATATGTTGTATGATTGCTATAGTTTCCGACCTTGAAGCTTGATTTGTTTTCTTTTGGGAAAACTAGCCACTGCTTTGTCTTGCTCTTGCAGCGGTTTGACATTTCTACATGTGTTGCTCCATCATCAGCACTAGCCACTGCTGAATTTTGAGAAATATGGCTCATACGTCTAATATGTTTTCTCATCGTGTTGTTACGAAAGGTTGGTCTATTTGATACATTAAATGGGAAAATATGGGTATGAAAGGTAACATGGCTTTTTTTATTACAATATTGTAAACGAACATAGAGGTTAGTTGTTGTTATATGGTGCCCATTCTAGGCCAGCAAATCAATGACATGTTAGTGGAAAGAAGTATTTGATGGAGTTGAGCTCAAGCAACCAACACACTTAGATTCAAAGCACAATATTGGCTAGGATTACATTATAGGTGGAAAGAGCAAAAACTACAACACAAGTACGTCTCCTAACGCGAGGGTTTACAAAAGAGTGAATTAGAATCCACTCTCCTTAGGTGAAACTACAACATATTTCGTAAATCTGGAATTACATTAAAGATTACACGACGTCGAACACTAAATTACACCGGAATTTAAAGTTATACGGTTAAGAGCAACCTAGTACAACCAAGGCTTACTCCAGAAGTCGGGATAGACGAGGGCAATGGAGAAACAACAAGATAATGATTATCCAAAACATGACTATGACCAACAGATCCAGAAACAGGAGACTGAGAAGTCAAACATCATGAACCCTAAGACCAAACTAACCAATTGTAGACTTGAACTTCTTCGAAAACCAGATCTCTTCTTCTTAGATTACACCATCGCCTCTGTCAAACGAACCTAGTTCCATAATGACGTCTGGATCTCGTAGCTCTGCTTCGAATTCGAGAGGGATGGGGATGAAGAAGAAGAGCAAGGACCAAGGACATCTTATAGTGGCGAACGGAGATGGGGCGTAGCGCACAGGAAGTAGACGGCATGGATGGGATACATTGCCGGTTCACGCTGTGGGGATAAAGTCGGCCATGGCGCGCTCCCTGCGCAAGCGAGCGGAGGGGGGAATAAAGGAGATGAGAGAGGGTTCGCTCGACGAGGGAGGCGTTCGGGCGGCCGTGTCCCCAAAAAAAGAAAGAAGGGAGGGGGGGTCCGGTACGGGGATGAGGGCGAGGATCAAGAGTGGACCGGAGGCCAGGAAAAGAAGAAGCGCACAGTGCACGAGGACGACGAGTGCGGCACGATGTCGCGGACATGCGAGGACAGGGTGCTAATGGGCCCGACACCGACGACGTCCGCGGGGCACGTGGTGACAGCGACCCGCCGTGCGTAGCGTGGTCGAGCTGGGCACAGTGCTTGGGACTTGACATCCACTAAGGCTTTTCTAAGCACTCCCTACTACCCAAGGCTAACTTTTTCTCGGTGTTCTTCTTTCCTCCCCTTCCTTGTCCACAATATGCGCCAACCTTTGTATGAAGTGAGATCGCAACATACATGCTTCCTCCGAAACCACCTCCTCTTGTTTACTTTGAGAGAACACTATTTTATCAACCCGTTATGGATTTCTCGTTCAAACACCCGAATATTTGTATCAAAAGTGGTATGGCGGTGTAACTTGGTAAAGGTACTTGGTCAACAACCTCGATACCAGCGCGTGCCGAGCAGCGTCACCATGTGGCAGTTGTTCCACAGGGGCCCTCGATTTCGTCGTGGCACCATAAGCTATTAACCAGACAACTATTACCAACTTACACGCAATGAAGACGGTGGGGTCATAGACCACAAAATCAGAGGAGTATTGCAAGGGAAGATTCAAACAACAAGGGTTCCTTTCGCAACAAGGGACAAGGAATTCAAATCCAACAACGGATTTGATTTAAAGAGATTCAAGTGTTGTGCTGGGACATCCACAATTAGTCGATACAGTGTCCTATGTTATCCAATCACGGCTGGTCTGCTCGGATCCGAATAGTAATTTCTCTTGTAACCCACTTAACATCGCCCTCGAAAACCCTAAGCACGTCTAACGAGACTTAAGGTAGATGGATGCAATAACACAGCGAAATAAATAAAATGCATATTCCGAATGGCCTTATGCTGGTACAACATACATGCACTTACTCTCCCATTCTCGACACATCGTTCACCTTTCGTACGATCAGACTACCTCAACAACTATGGACGAAATACAACGGAAAGATTACAATACCGATGGACAGCGACGAAAGACAGTACTAACTACGGGTACATCATCCCAAGGCAACTAATCTACTTTGGACCATGCATCTTCATTCTCGGGCTCGGTGGATTCTTCTACTGCCCTGGCTATGGATCTACCTCCTCTCTTGGCAACAGCTGAGTGAGAGGAATCAAGGGTTCTACTTCTGACACTTCCGAGGGTGGAGGTGCTGGCGGTACTGCAACACCGGTTCTCCTTCTTTCTGGTGGGTGGACAGGGATCTCATCCATGATCAAGGGATCCTGCTGTTCAGCAGCCAGCGTCCTCCGCTTGGCCCTGGTGACAAGGTAGGCCTCTCCCAACTGATGGGCATGTCGATCTTCAGCCTCCTTCAGAGCTTCTGACATGGCAGTCTCCCGACTCTCAGCGGCTGCCGCACAAGCATGCGCTTCGGCAAGCTGCACCTAGAGCATCCTGGAGAAGATCTTGGCTTCCTCGGCTCGCCGAAGGGACTTCTTCATCTCTGAGGCTTGCCGGTCATACTGCTCATCTAGAGCAAGTAAGTACGTGGTTAAGTGCACCGCGGTAGGACTATCTTCTTGTGCATCCCGTCCTTGCAAAGCCTCCATGCGAGCCCTCCATGTCCGTCGATTCTTTTCCAAAGGTGGAAAGAACCTCATGGGGGTATGGGCAATGGGCTCTTCATAGATCTGGCAAAGATACCGTAAGGCTTTGCGGGCCACAACCTGGTAGGTGTCGACGAAGCGAAACCCGATTGAGGTCACATTCCAGGCTTCAGTGATGTTGGGGAACTCTTCACTCTTCCCAACGTAGATGGTAACTTCACACCGCTCAGTTCCATGCTTTTCATACTCACGGCCCTCATACTCGGGACGATCTTTGACTCCGAGCTTTTGCAAGGTGGCATACAGGATCTTAGGAAAACCCTCAATGTTCAGGCAGTAACTACTAACCCAGGCTCCTACCATCGCTGGCGGTGATTGCAAGAAAGGACTGAGCGAAAAGCTAGCGGAAAAGGAAAAGCTAGGCAAGCTAAAGTGCACCGAGTGGTGGTACCAACGGCTAAGCCAGACCCTGCTTATAAAGGCAGAGCGGTCAGTGGTCGTGGCGCGGTCCACCAAGGTTCCAGCACGAGATCACTATAAATGAATCGACCAATTTTTTCGTGCGTTTGAGGCAAGCGATGTTCGAGGCCATTAATGACTAATACGGCTGCAAGACAAGGTTTCGACAAGAGCCTAGAAAAGAGTACGGAGAGACGCAGGTCACGGCAGGCGTGAACCGCAGGCGACGTGAAGCACAAAGGCATAAGGAACGGACGCCTCTGCATGCATGGGTGCAGATGCAAGTATGGTAGCCATAGTAATGGTGACCAACCCCAACTACCGACCACCTCGGGAGCAATGTGCACACAACCCAAGCCATGTCTTAGATGCATGGATGCATGTGTAAGTACAAATGTTCCTGCATGGTCGGTGAATCATTCTTATCTGATGGTAAGGAGGAGAGGCATTAAATGTGTCCACCTGCCCGACTTGTTTTTATCTGATGGTAGCATGAAGGGGAGGCATTAAATGTGTCCACCTGCTTTCAACCCACCCTGCGTAGGTGAAGATGTCCAGTGCTTTCAAATTTACTGAGTGAATTTCTGGATAGCTTAGGGAATGGCCTCGAACACTGCTCGTCTCGTGCGCGTAAAAATCCTGTCGCTTTTCTTTTATTGGTCTCCGCGCCAGACTAAATGGTGGCCTGCACCAGGACAAATGACCGCTCCGCCATTACAAATGGTCTAGCCTAGCCACTTGGTACCACCGCTCGGTAAGTCTCAGCTCACGTAGCCTTTCTCCCGAGCAAGCTTCTCGCTCGATCCTTCCTTGTAATCATCATCCACCAAGGATGGTAGGAGCCTGGGTTAGCAGCTATTGCCTGAACACTGAGGGTTTTCCCAAAATCCTGTATGCCACCTTGCAAAAACTCGGAGTCAAGGATCGCCCCGAGTACGAGGGTCGTGGGTATGAGAAACATGGCACTGAGCCATGTGAGGTCACCGTCTACATTGGGAAGAGTGAGGAGTTCCTCGATATCACTAAAGCCTAGAATGTGACCGCAACCAGGTTTTGCTTCGTCGATACCTACCAAGTTGTGGCCCGCAAAGCCTTGCAGCATCTTTGTCAGATCTATGAAGATCCAATTGCTCGTACCCCCATGAAGTTCTTTCCACCTTTGGAAAAGAATCGACGGGTATGGAGGGCTCGCATGGAGGCTTTGCAAGGGCGGGACGCGCAAGAAGATAGCCCAACTATGGTACATCTGGCCACGTATTTGATTGCTCTAGATGAGCAGTATGACCGGCAGTCCTCGGAGCTGAGGAAGTGCCTCCACCGAGTCGAGGAAGCCAAGATCTTCTCCAGGATGCTCGAAGTGCAACTCGCTGAGGCGCACGCCAATGTGGCAGCCGTAGAAAGTCATGAGACTGCCATGGCGGAAGCCCTGAAGGAGGCTAAAGATCGGCACACCCAGCAGCTGGAGGATGCTTATCTGGTCACAAGGGCCAAGCGTAGGACGCTTGACACAGAAAGGCAGGAACCCTTGGTCTTGGAGGGAATCCCTGTCCACCCGTCGGAAAGAAGGAGAACCGATGTTGCAGTACCACCAGCACCTCCACTCTCGGAGGTATCAGAAGTAGAGTCCTTGCTTCCACTCACTCAGCTAGCACCACGAGAGGAGGTAGATCCTTAGCCAGTGCAGAAGAAGAACCAACCGAGGCCAGGAATGAAGCCGTTTGGTCCGACGAAGTAGATGAGTTGTCCTAGGGGACATGTACCCGTAGTTTGCAGTGCTTTTCATCATCATCCTCTAGTGTTGAATCTTTCCATTGTATTTCATCAGTAGATGTTAAGAATCGTCGGGTCATAGGAGGCAAACGATGTGTCGAGAATGGGAGAGTGAGTGCCTGTATGTTGTACCCGTATAAGGACGTTTGGGACGTGCACTTTGCTTTATCCGTTGTGTTTGTTATGTCGATTTACCCTTAGACCTCGTTAGACTTACTTAGGGTTCTCGAGGCAAAAATCAAACGGGTTATAAGAAAAGCAACCATTCAGATGCAAGCAGACAAGCTATGATTGGATGATGGAGAACACTATATCAGCTAATTGTGGGTGTCCCAATAGAACCCTTGAATTTCCTTAAAAATTAAATCCGTTGTGGGATTTGATTTCCTAGCCCCTTGCCGTGAAAGGAACCCTTGTTGTCTGAATCCTTCCTTACAATCCATTGTTGGTTCCGTGGTCAGTGACCCTACTGCTTTCATTGCGTGTAAGTTGGTAAAGTTTCCTGGTTAAATACTTATGGTGCCGCGACGAAACCGAGGGCCCCTGCGGAACATCTACCACATGGCGACTCTACTCGGCACGCGCTGGTATAGAGGTGGTTAACCAAGCACCTTTGCCAAGTTACACCACCGTATCGCTCTCGCTGGTATAGATGTGGTTAACCAAGCACCTTTGCCAAGTTACACCACCGTATCACTCTCGCAACAAAATATTCTCCTTTGGAAAATGTCCTTGTGTTATAACGGGAAATCCACAACGGGTTGATGAAGTAGTGCTTTTTCGAAGTAACTGAGTTAATACGGTTTCTAAAGAGAGAGAAGAGCAACAAGGAAAAGTTAGTATTCGAGTAGTCTGGAGTGATTGAAATGCTTAAATTGACGCCATGTCCTAATCCCAGTGTCCGGTTTGACCACGCTACGCACGCATCGACACCTGCGGACGCTGTCGAGACCGGGACCCACTTGCGTTCAGCTCTCGTTTGGCTATGCCGCACTCGCCTTGTTCACTCGCACAGTTCGTTTCTCTCCTTTTCTCGCACCTTGTCGGCTCTCGACTCTCGCCCTCGCCCCTGTACCAGACCCCTCCTTTTTCTTCTTTTTGGGCACGGCCGCTCGCACGCCTCCTCGTCGAGCGAACTCCTCTCCCCTCCTTTTTCCTCCCTCCACTCAAGCTCGCGTAGGGAGCGCACCATGGCCGACACTCTCCCCACCTCGTGACCCACCAATGTTTCCCTTCCACGCCGCCTCCACTTCCCGGTTGCTTGGGTGCGCCAGAGTTAGCTACGTTTACTCTACACCCATGCAACCAGCAAAGCGCATAGCAGACCACGTGCAAATTAAAGCCGCGCGCACCGCCAGTGCCCACTCACCCGCGCTCCCTTTCCCGCACACTGGTGCCGTCCTCTCAGCGTCACGCCGTTGTCTCTTCTGCATCGCCACCCACCGTAGGTCGCACCACCGCCCCACGACACCGTTCATGATGTCACCTCCATTGGCCCGATGTTGTCGCTGCTATCCCCCACAAACCTGATTCCCTCAGCCCCTGATGCTGCTCAGTGCCGCCGATAATGGCGCGCACCCACCCTCTAAACCCGCCAGCAATCGCCTATAACCCCCCCGGTTCCCCCTTCACAACAAGACACTCCACAGTCAACACTAATCACCCGCATAAGCCCCCTATTCAAATGCCAACCTATTTCAACATTTTAAGAAAATGCCTAAGATAAGTGCTGCAAGCTGGAGACTATCGAAGAAAACATCAAGCAGGAGCTGGAGTACATTGGCAGAAGCAAGAAGCTGACAGTCTCAAAATATGCTTAGATGAAGATGAGCTCACCATGAACAAGAATAATTTACTATAGTATCTGACCCAAAAAAATAGTAATAATTTGAGCAGAATTATCTGAACCATGAGGATGCCAGTGACCTCTGTTCAGACATGGCTCCCTTTGCTTTGCTCTGTTGTCTATCTATACCACACCCTGATACCCACATCTTTTTCTACCTTGTTTTTCCCTTAAGCAGTTAAGTTTAGTTGATCTATGGATCCTTTTCCATGGCACTAAGCACTACTATGGTAGCATCATGAAGAAGCAAAAGCAGCAAGGCTTAAACAATAAGCACCTTGCAAAGTTACAGGACACTGCTAGCTAGCTACCCTCCAAGGACAATCGAATGCACACTTGGTGGTGGACAGTCAGGCCAGGGAACACGCCACGGCAGTGGCGCGGGTCCTCATGATGCTGCGGACATGGGCATGGATTTCCTCTTGGCGGTCTTGCCGGCGAGGACATTGCCGCTGCCCCTGACGTTGACCTTGTAGTACTGTACGAACCAGTCGACGAAATGGCGGAGGCCAACCTCGAGCGAGGTGGCAGGGTGGTAGCCGAAGTCGCGCGCGGCGTGGCTGACATTGGCGTGCGTGAACGGCACGTCGCCATTGGTCGGCATCGTGACGACGCGCTTGTGCGCCTTCTTGCTGAGGAGCTTCTCGAGGATGGCGACCATGCGGGTGATGGCCACCGGCGAGGTGTTGCTGAGGTTGTACACGCGGAGCGGCGCGGGCCCGCGCTTCTTGCCAGACTTGGAGCCCATGCTCTTGCCGTCCGTGTCAAGCGCGCTGAGAAAGTATGACTTGAGTCAATGGACTAAGTATAAAACTTTTTTTGGAAAAAAGGCAGGAGCCCTGCCATTGAATTAAGAAAGTAAAAGAGCGTTCAAAACATATATTAAATGTTGATTCCTAAGACCAGTGGATACAGTAACTAACCCCCCAAGAAAACCATCTGGGGACCAAAACCATCCAGTGCAAAGTTGTGTTGTTGGATAATCCCTAGTCTGATCAGTATTTTAGGTTGTGCTGGGGGTGGCCATGAATTCATATACTATATTGGTGAACCAATAAAAAGATTAAGCAGTCACAGTGAAGCCAGGTTGTTAAATTTTCTGGTTCCCAGTGCATTATCAGGTTCGTCTAGAGCACTAACAGCAGCATCATCAATCAGTGTGTTTATATTATATAAGCCGCAGGGCCCTCTTACTAGGTGCCTAAATTCTTGCCACCTGGTAGTAATCATCTTGATTTAGGCCATATCTCTAAATGTAGGTACGACACAGCCTGCGATTATGTAGCACAAGGTAACGACTCACAGGAATGGCACAAAAGTAGAGAGTTTGATTATTAATCCATGCCACAGTGCGAAATATTCACATGTTACATGTAGAATACAACAACAAACCCTTTAAGTCCCAAACAAGTTGGGTAGGCTAGAGTTGGAACCCAGGAGAAGCAATCAAGGTTCAGGCATGTAAATAGCTGCTTTCCAAGCACTCCTGTCTAAGGCTAAGTCTTTGGGTATATTCCATAGGCTTTGTTGTTGTTACATGTAGAATATTTGCTAAAATTAACAGAAGTTGTACAATTTCATGTAAGGAGGGGCATATCATGTAAGAACAGCATGAAAATTGGAAATAATATTTAGAAAGAATGCAGCACACATGTCGTAGCTGTACCATTATTATAACATGGCAATAATGAACACATTGGCATCAGTGTCCCACTTGGAGACCACAACAGAAAAAATCGAATTCAATCAAATCAGGCTTCGTACCACAAAAATCACTGACCATGCAAAAAAACAAAGAATTAGATCAATCCCACACCAAAACAGTCCCATGGATACCAAACCAGAACTATCAAGTAAACCAATCTGGAATATAAGGATCCACACACTGAGGTGAAGTGCATCACATATATATCCAATTTAAATTTTGAGAGAAAATATACAGACACAAAAAAAATCAGCAGACATCAGCACATGTAGCACCAACCCTCAAGATGGATATTCACAGACTTAATTCTGTAAGGAAATATACAATCACTACAAAACAGCAAACCACATGAGCCTATGGCAATGATCCTCGCCATGGATCTATGGTGGGCCAAACATATATGTTTTGTTGCATGTAATGCTTCGCAGCCAGATTAGGACTACAAAGAAGCACACATTGTTAGCCTCATCTAGCATATGCAGTAGAGATAAAATATGTAGACCTAATCTAGGATTCTTTGCCTAGCAGGAAGCAGCAAACCAAATATACAGGGATCTCTGGTGTGAAGGAAACAAAAAAATGGAGCCTGTAGACATAACAGCCCTATCCATAGGCAGAAGTAGAAAACTACCATCCTTTGCAAGAATCCAAGCTACCATCAGGCAGCGAAACATATACATTATCTTTTCTCTCGTAGCATAGCGAATCCATCTTCATCACAAGCTATGGAGCAAAAAATATTTCCATCACTGGAACTGACCATTAGGGGGAAAACAATAGTTTGGATAGGCAGAAAGTACTCAAATCTACAAGGGTTCTAAAGAATAAAGCAGTGTGTGGGAATGAATTTTGTAAAATAAATGCATGCATCACACTGTATGCAGTTGTGTCCCAAATTAGCACGGGGAAACAATTCAGTAAGACTGGAGTGATTTAAATCCTTGAATACATAGGAACTGTGCTTCACTGCATTAACATGAAGGAAGTCCTAGAGATACAACAGACAACAAACTCTCAAAGGTATAGACATGGTACTGAAAGAGAACACGACTATAAACTAAACGTGCAATCCACTACAATGAATCCACCACAATAAGAAAGCAGAGAGAATGTAGTGAATAAGAGTAGCCTCAGGGACGAACGAAATGGCATCATTTGATTTGTTGTAGGTAGGCACAGCGGCATGCACCGAGAAATAGCATCCTTTGCCAGTGGAGTAATTAACCATGTAGGGTTCAGTTGGATTACTAAAAGATGATCATCATTTTAGGACATCTTAACTCAAACCCCGCAAGTCAAGGTCCACCTCATGTTCCTAAAAATCAAGTGTCCACCATTCTGCTTTCCATAAGTTTTTTACAGGGAAGAGTTGAATCGCATGGAACCATAGAGAGCACAGCACCACCTTATGAATCAATGTTTGGATAGAGGATGAGGGAGAGAATGTACCAATGTAGCATAGTAGGATCAACAGTGGGCGCACCGGCGCGGGCAGCAGGCGCAGGGGAGGAGGTGACATCGAAGCTGACAATAGCACATACAAGAATAGAAAAATAAGTATCAGCTGTGGAGGCTGTCGGGATCACAACTTGAATAGGCATTTAATCGAACACTTAAACTACAGGTAGCAGAAAGCTAGCATACAGAGCAACAAACCATAGCACAGGTTTCTTACCCAAAGGTGAGGAAGGCAGATGGAGTTGTCCCCCCAGATCAACAAGAATCCCCAGCAAAGCAATCTTGCTTATCCTCTGTGTCCCCTTTCTGAAACCAACACAATTTGACATTCCAATTCTATACATCTGCTAGAGAGTGGATGGGCTGCAACGCCTAATCAAGAGCAAGAGAAGAGGAGGATGTGGGAACTCACCTGGGCTTCAAAGCCACGGAGCATCAGCACCGGCGCAGCTGCCGTTGCGAGTATAGCATGGAGGAGAGATGAAACCATAAGCTGAGGAAGCCCAAGTACTATGCAAATCCTAGGCATGTCCATTTACGAAACCACGGGCAATGACATAGGTGAGGCACAAGCCGGATGAAGAAAGGAGAAGGAAGGAAAACACAGGACGTAGGCCCACGGACGCGAATCTAGGTCGGGCGTACTACCGGCGATGGCCCTACCGCGTGGGCGATGCACGCCTGCCCAGGTGTGGCGTAGGGGGCAACCGTGCTGGGGGCCGTCGCTCCAAGGGCCACCCACGGCAGTGCGCTGCCCACGCAGGGGCCTGACGTGACCGGCTCGCCCATCGCCGCTCCGGAGCCGCCAGCGTCGGGGGAGGAGAAGAAGAGGACGCCCGCCGCTGCTCCGGGGGTGGCCCGCGTCGGGGTAGGAGAAGAAGAGGGTGAGGTACCGCCAGATCCAGGTGCCAAGTTTTGTCGCCGCCGCCGCCACCGATGAGGAAGAGACAGCTAGGGTTTCATCGAGCACACTCAGACCAGCGGGACGAGGCAGCGCCAGGGGAGAGCATGGGCTCGGACGCGGCCGTGGCCACCGGTGTTGGACGGCGCACCATGGCGCCGTGCCAAGGGACACCGCTGCACCACGCACAGGGTGCGGGGAGCCTCGGCGGTCGCGACGAGGAGCGAGGGAGAGAGCGAGAGCGTGGAGAGGAGAGAGAGAGGAGGGGGAGGAGCGGAGCTGCTGCCGCCTGCCATTTACACGAGAGAGAAAGAGGAAGGAGCACCATTTTACATGAGAGGACCATAGTGGAGCCTAGCTCTGCAAAGCAAGCAAGGCCCCAACAGCTTGTACACACGTGTACTTGCATGCGTGCCGACCATCATGCTAATTAGGCATCAGCCGTGAGAATCCACCGTCCCCTGCTACGCACCACCATCCATTTGTGTGCCGCGTACAATCACCAGGAAAGCCCTACTTGGAACGAGTCAGTCGTGTGCGGCGGCGGCCGTCGTTTTGTACGCCGGCCCTGGCAGTGGCAACGTGCGCGAACTGCAACCTCCGTCTGAACCAGGCATGCGACGATCATGTGAAGCAATACGGGCACTACAATGCACAAACAGGATATGTCAGACAATTTTCAATATGTCACAATTCTAGAAGAAATAACTTTATTTACATGACACAATCATGTGAATGAAGTAAGTTAAAAGTGTCTCCTCGTTTAGAGGCTTTCTGAATAGTTATCGAAATTATGGCAGTAAAGTTCATGCCATATTTCGAGAGGGAGAATATTAAGATCAATTAAAAAATACTCTTCATTAAGAGTGAGATAAAGATCAATTAAAAAAATACTCTTCAGTAAGAGTGAGATAAAGATCAATTAAATGGCACAAACAGGATATGTAAACACTACAACTGCCATAATCTCCGTCCTAAAATGAATATAATTCTCACTTTTCAATATGTCAGACAGTTTTAAATTTAATCAATGAGATAGAGGGTGTGGTTTTAAAGACGCGGCCAGAGATAGCGGGATGTGAACCTCAGGAATTGCCTTCTACTTTGTCAGGACCATACAAAATCTTACAGACACGGATTACGCTTATAAGGCGTTGAAAAAGTTAGTTCAAATTTGGTCACCTCCATTCTTTTTAGGTTCATACTTCGCTACTTGGGGCCGGTGAGGAGCTGTGCCACCAGTGCTCAGCTTCTTGCCATTAATGGTGTCATTGTGGCGCCATGGCTACATAGGACGATGGGACGACGTTGCAGGTGGGCGGTGCGGCGAGTATGGGGGGAATGCTCGGCATGCATGGACGGTGGCTCGTAGCGTGATGGTCGGCACACATGCGAGTACGAACCACGTGCATGCTGCTGAGGCCTTTGCTTGTGCCTACGTGCTAACTTTGCATGGTGCATGTAAATGGATGGTGGCTAGTTAGCATGGTAAATGTGGTGGTTGTCTGCGTGCGTGCTTGCCTTGCTCTATTTGCTGCGCATATACGGTTGTGCTGCTCGTGCTGCTGCCATGTATGGAGAAGGGAGAGGGAGCAAAGGTGGGAGGTGGGACCCGCTGTCGTGGCGGCGTGCGAGCTGCCGCAGTCGGCGAGGGCGTCCGAGCGCTGGTGAGCTGTGGCGACGA